AAAAATCGAGACGTCGGATGTCTGGGTATGGCGGTGTTCTGACAGCTCTGCCTTTTGCTCCGAACGCCCAGGGAGAAACAATTCGACCATTGTGTTTTCTCGATGCGTTTCTCTCTGGGGTCCGCGGTCGTTCAATCCGAGCAGTGGCACTTTCATCACCATCGTCACCATCGTCGTCGTCATATGCATCCTCATTATCATCGTCATAGTCGTCATCATCAGCATCGTTATCATCAGTACCATTATTACCATCATCATTATCATCATCGTCATCATCACCACCTTAGCATTTAGTATTGCTAGTATCATTATTAAGTTCATCACTAACGATATTATGTTTATTATTGTCCTTAACAGTATCAATATCAGTAGCAGTACCATTATCAGTATCACCGTCATAGTTGTTATCATCATGTTTGCCATCACTACCATCTGTACCATCATCATCATCATGATCATCATCACCATCCTCACCATCCTGATCATCCTCATCATCATGCTCGCCATCACCAGCACCATCACCATTGTCATCTCATCGTCGTCGCCGCTTCCTTTGGCGCACCAGACAGCTTCTATAGTTGCATTGTGTAGCCAGTCCGCGCCCGCGTCGCACCCAGCCATGGCCAGCACCGCGTTCCCCGGCGACGCCTTCTGCAGGTCTGCGGGCTACGCCGGCCCGTTCGTCTACGAGGAGGCCGCACAGGAGCAGGGGAAGGCCAAGTGTGTCACTACCAGCAGTTCCACCTGAGAATCGAGGATCGAGCATCGAGGGCGCTTTTTTGGATGGTGCTTATTTTGGGGGGGGTTCTAGGGGAGTTCGCCGGTGATGTCCTCCCCCCCTCCCCCTCCTCGGGAGGCGGCAGCGGCCCCCTGGTGGTGTCGCCCACGTAAGTGGCCTGGCCCAGAGGAGTGCCAGCTCCCCGCGGAGGAGTGGTTCGACCTCGTGATGGAGGTGATTCTTGTTGGTTTGGTGCTGGTGCTGCTGGGCTCGGCTGTGGTCCACGTCGCCTGCAGGTGCTCGCACTTGCGTGCGCACACGGCGCACACTGCGCACGCTGCCCCCGCCGCCAGGGAGGCACACCGCGACCACGAGGAGCCTCTCCTGGGGGATGAGCTCGGCCAGGAGAACGCGCGTCGGATCAACAGGGGAATGAAGAAGGGGTTTGAAGCAGGCGCGACGGGCTTCGCGGAGCGCGCCCAGGACGCCGGTGGCACGAAATCAGTCACGCCGTTGTTCGGCCTCCCTGGCCCTCCCGTGCCGTCATCAGATTGCACCATCCTCGTATGTCCTTTTGATGGTCCCTCCCACCTCCTCATCTGCCTCCCCCTGTTCCTTCCTTCGTCCTTCTCCCCCGTGCGCCTCCCTTCCTCTACCCCCCTTCTATGCTCCCTCTTCCTCTCTCCTCCTCCCTCCCCCAATTCCAGACGCTCACCGCCGCCTCTCCGGAGCGACCCGCGTCAGGACTTCTGCGCCCCCTCTGTTCCTCTACTGGGCACTTTGCCCTCCTTGGCTCGCCTGAGGAAGCGGGAACCGCTGTCCCTCTCCTATCCCTCCAGCTCCCCTTCATCCAGCTCCTCCTCCGCTTCCCTCTGGCTGCTAGTACTCCTCAGACTCCTCATCCCTCACGCTTCTCATTCTCCTCCTCCTCCTCTTCCTCCTAATGGTCGGGACGGGCTTGCGGCGTGAGCGCATACTGCAACATCAGTGCTTCTGTGGGTATAAGATTCCTCCTCCTAACTGTTCGTCGCAGTTCCTCTCCACCGCAAGGTGCTCACTTGTGATCCTTCATCTCCATAGTTTTCCCCTCACCTGTTCCCGACATATCCCTCCTTATCTCCCTCCTGCTGGATCGTTTGTCATCCATCCTTATCATCATCCTCGTCTTCATGTTCAGCATCCTTTGTCATTACCCCTCCTCTTTCCTCGACTTCCAGATTACCTTCTGCCTCACCTCCATCATGACTCTTCATCGTCATATCTTATCTGCCCTCCTTCTCCCCCTTGTTTTTCCTTTTTTACTGATGTTCCTCCTCCGCCCGGTTCGCCCCTTCCGTCTTCCTCACCATTCTGCATTGATGCGCCTTTCAGCACATCCCTCCTCTCCCCTTGTTTAAATCATTCGTTGCCTCTTTCGCATGCTTGCATGCTCGATTCCAACGGGTTTGAGGCGGCCTGCGTATCCATGTTCGTCTCGTCATGCGCACTACTCATCTTACTGCTCAAGGTTCTCTATTCATGTTGGGTCTCCCTCCCGCATCCATCCCCATCTGTCACACTCCTGTCTCTTACATGTATTATCATGGTTTGCCCCTCCCATCCCTCCTCCGTCCTCTTCCTTGTCATGCTCCTCCTGTCCCCTCCACGCATACCCATCCTCCTCCCTCCTACCAAATCCTCTCCATTGTCATTCCTCCTCCTCCTCCTCCTCCTCCTCCTCCTGCTTCCCTTTCCTTTCTCACCCACTCCTCGTCTTTATTTCTCTCTTTCTCTCTCCACTCCCCTCCTTGGAGCCTCCCTCTCCTGTTCTCTTGCCCCAGCCCATCCGTATCATCCTCCCCCTTCCTCATTGCACCTTCTTTTTCGTCCTCCTTTTTCGAAGCCCTACAGAAGTGACGTTTAGATAAGTGGAACATTTATCCTCATGAGGAAGACAAGACTCTTCTCCGAACGGAGCCGGAGCAGGTCCGCTTCTTCTTGGAACGGTTCCCCACAGCACATCGCATATGGAGCAGACATCCTGGATTCTGCAGGCGCGTCTCCCGCGTTCTCTACCTTCTTTTCAAAGACCACCTCAAGTACACCGTTGGCGTCGGCCTCCCATTGTTCTACAACTTCCATGCGTTGCCCCTCTTCGCCTTCGCCTTCGCATGGCTGATCAGCCCGCACTATCACGGCGCCATCGCCGAGGACGGGAGCCTGACCGATCCCGAAGCATTTGCGAAGGACACTTGCCATGCGCTGCTCTATTTGTATGTATCCAGTGGCCTTCGGCCCATCCCGCCACCGCGCCCGTGTTGTGGGCCAGAGGCCTCTTGGAGGCCCGTGGGGATCTCCTGGGAGGCCTCTCGGTAGCCTCTCGGGGGCGGTCTTTTGGAGCGTCTCCGGTGGCCCTCTTGGGGGCATCGTGGCTCAAGAACCGCACTCCGTGCCCTCGCGGAGGGCCCCGCCGCCGCCGCCGCCGCGCCCGCCGCTGCCGCCGCCGCCGACGACCACGACGACGACGACAACGACGACGCCGACGACGACGACGACGACGACGACGAGACTGCGGGGTCCCGAGGACACCTCACTCCGTGCCCTGGCCGAGGGCAGCGCGGAGGCCCAGCGGTCGCCGCCCTCCGCGCGCGCCCGCAAGCCCGACCTGGGCCGCCCGAGACTCGCTGGGTGCACGTTCCCTCCCTCCACCTCCTCCTCCCTCCCTCCTCTCTCCTCCCTCCCTCCACCTCCACTCTCCTCCCTCAGTTCCCTCCGCTCCTACTCAACCCCCGTCCATTATTTCGCCATGATCCTACTACCTCCCTAAACCCCTCCCTCCCTCCCACTTCCACGCCTCCCTCCCTCTCCCCCACCCTCCTCCCCTCCTCCTCCACCTGCATCCTCCTCCCTCCCCCCTCTCTCTACCTCCCCTCATCAATCCTCCCTACGTCCCTCCTTCTCCTCCTCTCTCCTTCATACTCTACCCCCTCCTCCCCCCTGAACTCCCACTCCCCTCCTCCCCCACCCCAGCCTCCTAATCTCCATCCCTCTCCTCCTCCTCCTCCTCCTTTTACTTCCCTCTCCGCCTCCCCTCTCCTACTCCTCATACTACCTCCATCCTCTTCTATCCCTCCCTCTTCACTCCTCCCTCCTGACGTTCACCTCCGCCTCCTCCTCGTCTGCTACTCCTTCCTCCTCCCCCCTCCTAATCCTCCTCCCCTACCTCTCTCCTCCTCCTCCTCACGCCTCCCCTCCTCCTCCTCCTCCTCCTCTCCTCCTCCTCCTCCTCCTCCTCCTCCTCCTCCTCCTCCTCCTCCTCCGCATTCCTACTCCTCTCCTCCTCTCTCCTCTCCTCCTCCTTCCTCCTCCTACTCTCCTCATTCTTTTCCCTCCTCATCCTCCTCCTCCGCCTTCTCCATCATCCTTCCTCCTCTCCCTCCTCCCTCTCTCCCTACTCCCTCTTCCTCATTCCCTGTTTTTTTTTTTTCCTTCTTTTCCATCTCGCTTCCCTCCGCCTCCTCCTCCTCCTCCTACTCCTCCTCCTCTCCTGCTTCTCCTCCCCTCCTCACTCCTCCTTATCCTCTCTCTTCCCCTCCTCCTTCTCCTCCTCCTCTTCTCCTCATACCTCCTCCTCCTCCTCCCTCCTCCTCCTCCGTCTCTCTCCCCTTCTTCTTATTATTACAAGTATTATCATTATCCTCCTTTTCTTCCTCCTCCTCCTCTCTCCCTCTTGTCCTTCTTCTCCTCCTGTTATTATTCCTCCTCCTCATCCTCCTCCTCCTCCTCATCATCATCATCATCAGCAGCAGCAGCAGCATAATCATACTCATCATACTCATCATCAGCATCATCATCAACATCAGCATCAGCATCATCATCATCTGCTCCTCCTCCTCGTCCTCCGTATCCTCCTTCTCCTCCTCTTCCTCCTCCTCCTACTCCTCCTCGTTATCCTCCTCATCCCCCCCGTTCGCCGACGCCTTCGCCACCGCCGACGACGACATCACTAGTTGGGTGCACGATCCCCCCTTCACTCCCCGGCCGCGGGGGCACCCTTTTCGAATGGCAAGACGTGCCGCGGTGCACGGTAGGCGGATTCATGGTGCTGCACGCCTGGTTGCACGCGAAGCTCGGGGACGTCTTCGCGGAGTCTTTCGACACGTACACCTCGTCGATGTCGGACTACGCGCTGCTCCTCACCGGCCTGCCGCCGTCCGCGACGAACGAGAGGGAGCTGCTGCGCGAGCTGCAGGCCGACCTGCCCGACGCCATCGGGGTGTCGATCTGCTACAACCTCGACTGCGAGAGCGTGGCGAGCACCATCGACGCCATGACGCAGTTCGTCCTGGACCTCGAGTACGAGGTGAACGAGGTCGAGGAGGAGGAGGCGCAGGAGCAGGTGGACACAGATGCGGCGGTGGCTGAGGTGGACGGGGGAGGGAGAAGCAGGAGCAGGAGGATGAAGAGAAGGTTGAGGGAGGAGTTGAGGATGACTCGTGGGACGATGCGGGGCGAGCAAAAGAAGGAGGACGGAAGAACATGGGAGGTAGTGCCAGACGCAGAGGATGATGGAAGAACATGGGGGATGGGGAGGGGCAAGAGGAGGATGGTGGAGGAACGAGGGATGGTGTGAAACGAGGGTGGGAGGAGGGTGGGAGGGAGAAGAACCAGGAAAGAGGAGAGAGCGATGAGGACGAACACAATGGAACCCCAAGAGGCTACTGCTGAGGATCTGCGAGGTTTGCTCGGTGGAGCTGCTGATGGAAGGGCGCAGAAGAAGCTACTGAGAGGGAAGCTCAAGAGGCTGCTCGATAAAGGGGCCCTCGTCGGTGGTAGCCGGGCCTTTGTCGTGTTCAAGACCAAGGCCTGCCGCAACAAGGCTCTCCTTCGCTGCTCTGGCATCTTCTGCAAACCGGAGAGGGTGCCAAAGACAGAGGATCGGGGATGCGCTGAACCGGGTCAGCGCTAACTGGGGGCGGCTAGGACCAGGAGGAGGAGGAGGAGAATCTGAAGAAGACAAAGGAGGAGGAGAAGGAAGGGGAGGAGGAGGAGGAGGAGGAGGAGGAGGAGGAGGAGAAGGGGAGGAGGAGGAGGAGGAGGAGGAGGAGGAGGAGGAGGAGGAGGAGGAGCAGGAGGAGGAGGAGCAGGAGGAGGAGGAGGAGGAAAAGGAGGAGGAGCAGGAGGAGGAGGAGGAGGAGGAGGAGGAGCGTTCCGGAGCGATCTGGAAAATTGTTGTCGCCCCCGATACATCCTCCCAAACCGCTGGATCTCAGAGGTCCCCGATTTGTCCCAGTCCGATGTTATTCCAGTCCTTGCCTCGACGTAGTGCCGCGAACCCACGGCAGCGGAGAGGCGGTAGAAAGTAGCACCCCGGAACCGCGTCAGCGGAGAGACGGGCGGAGGGAGGGGGTCGGCTCCACGTGGCTTTCAAACCTGAGTTGGCCAGAGGGGATCGGAGGGTTCGGGGTCCACATGCATGTCCCACCACGGCGGGCTCGTTTTCTGCCACTGAGGCTGATTTTCGTTATGTTCTGGTGTAGGTCGCAGAATTTCTAACAGCATGCACTGTCATGTGTCCTGCCCTGGCATACACAGGATGCGTAGCATTGAGTTGGACTATCACTTGGGGCGAAGCCCCAGATTTGTGGGGGAGCACTTGGGGCGTAGCCCAGATTTGTGTTCGGTCAAGTGCTGATTGATTAGCGCGGTGCTGACTGATCGCACTTGCCAGAAGGTGTTTTGTATTCGGCCGCCCACTTCGCAACCTACGGCGCAACCAATAGTGTGCCGTTTCAACTTCGGCCGCCCTGTGACACAGTGTGCAATTTATGACGCAACCATTGGCAGGCCGTTGTAGCTTCGGCCTTCCAGTGCGCAGCCTATGCCGCAACTAGCAGTCGACCGTTTTAGATCTGGCAGCCCAGAGAGCAATTCATGGCGCAATCAGTAGCAGGCCGTTTTAGTTTCGGCTTCTCAGTGCCGCTTTTATGACGCAGCCCATGCGTAAGGCAACCTATGGACGGGCCAGAACCTACGGGCCCCCGATGGCTGCTTGCCGTTTGGGCTGGCACTGGGACCCAAGCGGCGATCTGCCTTGAGATTTTCGAGCGCCACCGTCGTGGGGCAATCCGGCGAACGGCCATTCGCACTCTTGGCCACATGCGTCCATCGATTGCGAGAAAACACCTGCTGGCGATTGCCGCAGGCTCGCGGTGGCGGCCTCCGTCGTGGCGGTCGCGCGCGTGATGCCTACCAGTTCCTATGGCCGCCCCACCCCCTCCACCCCCCCGCGCCCCGCGCCACCCCCCGTTCCCCCCCAGAAGGAGGGCGGCGCGGAGCGGCCAACGGCGGCCGCGAAGGCGGTAGCTGTGGCCGCCAGGGGGCACGCGCGTCGCCGCGGGCCCCCCTCGAGCGACCTCGCGCCGAGTCGTGGGAAGCCGACCGCTCGCGACCGCGAGCCACCGTGAGGATCGGCTCGGCTACACGTTAGAGCTGCCAGTCGCCTGAGTGACCTCTGGTGCGCGGATTCCGGGGGGGGGGGGGGGGCGACCCCCGAACACGCAGGCCAGGACGCCGCGCCGCTCGCAAGGGTCGGCAAGCCGCGCTCCAGAGGCCAGTCGTGCCCATGGTCCTTCCTTCTCCTCCTCCCCTCCTCCTCCTCCTCTCCTCCTCCTCCTCCTCCTCCCTTCTCCTCCTCCTCCTCCTCCTCCTCCTCCTCCTCCTTCCTCTTCCTCCTCCTCCTCCTCCTCCTCCTCCTCCTCCTCCTCCTCCTCGGCGTGTGGCCGACGAAGGGATCATAGCTGACCCGCCTTGTCATGCAGGCCTCGGAGGAGGGTAAGTGGCTCTGGAGCGTTCGGGACGGCACGGTGAGCGTTCCGGTTGCGCCTTGGAACGGCCGCGGCGCCCGATGGACGCGTCCTGCAGCTCCGCAGGCTCTCAGAGATTCCCGATGGATCCCCATCCGAATTTGTCCTCGTCTGGCCCTCGTGCGCAGGGACCCTTGAGAGAAGAGAATTCATGTCCTTAGTTCCACCCTCGTTCCACAGCGGAGCCGCCGGGACTGTACTACAGCGGCTTGCTCTGGCATTCTACCACTACACATCCGGCGTGGACAGCGTTCTTTCCCTCCCCCTTAGGGGGAGGAGGAGGAGGAGAAGGAGGAGGAGGAGGACGAGGAGGAGGACGAAGAGGAGGAGGAGGAGGAGGAGGAGAGGAGGAGGAGGAGGAGGAGGAGGGGGAGGGGGAGGAGGAGGAGGAGGAGGAGGAGGAGGAGGAGGAGGAAGAGGAGGAGGAGGGGGAGGACGAGGAGGAGGAGGAGAGGAGGAGGAGGAGGAGGAGGAGCAGAGGAGGAGGAGGAGGAAGTGGAGTAACTAGGAGGAGGAGAAGGAGGAGGAGGAAGAGGAGGAGGAGGAGGAGGAGGAGGAGGAGGGGGAGGAGTAGGAGGAGGAGGAGGAGTTGCCCTCGTCCTGGTCTTGCATGGCTCCTGCGCCCCCTCCCAAGAGGAGCTCGAGAGGGCCCTGTCGCACCACCGGCCCCAGCGCCGCGAGGAGGACTCGGGGAACAATCTGTTACCAAGTCCAGGATCACCCATCTTCCTCCTCCTCCTCCTCCTCCTCCTCCTCCTCCTCCGCCTCCGCGGATTTTCGTCTCCCCCTCCACTTCCCATGTGCCGTCCTGAAGTGACCTGAGCGTGGACTTTCGGAGGACCACGTGGACTTCTCGGATCGGCGGTGGGGCCCCCTTTTGGCGGCGCCTCCGGCGCCGCCAAAGGGCGCGCTCCGCGCGGCAGGAGGGGGCGAGCGCCGATCCCAGAAATCCGCGCGGACCTCTGCAAGTTTGTGCGTTGTGCCATTCCAGGAGGAACGACAAGCACAAATACAATCACATGTCGACTCCCGAAAATTGTAGGAAAGGAGGCGAAGACAGATATCCAGAACAGATGAGCAAATATGGGGGATCCTGGAATGTTTGGCACAACTTGTTCAAGCGGCTTACGCCATTCCGCCGTCCCCAGAGGAAACACGAAGCCCACGGGTTATCTCTCCCGAGTGCCTCTTCTGGGCCTCCTGGGGGCCGCTTCCGGCCCTCTTGAGCGCCTGCCGGCGGTCTCGGGGGTCCACTTGGGGCGGAGGGCTCGACATTCACCGAGCCACTTGCAAAGTGCCTGCTCGCAAACGTCCGAGAAGCGTTTGCTCGCCTCGACCTATTGGATCGTAGACCCCTGCGGCAGTTCCAGGCCACTTGCAAGTAGCCGCTTCTTGCGAGCAGTGGGACGCGCTTGTCCAGACTTGAGTCGGGCCTGTCCCTCTACTGGAGGAATATTCAAAACAATAGTCAAACACTAGTCTGTGGACGATTTTATTTGAAATTATTGTTTGGCTATGTTGGGGTATTTTGTTTGCGTATTTTGTTGTATGTCTCGTCCAACATCCGCCTGCGGGGGGACAGGCCCGACCTAAGTCTAGACATCCTTTTGTGTCTCCCCGGGCCCCTTCTCCTCCGCTGCCGGCTCCCCGAAGGACTGGCACCAGCTCCTCGCGCCCGTGGAGTTGCCCCCCGCCCCGGGCGGCGACCCCAGCGTCGTGCGCGACCTGTTGCTCGCGGGCACGCGCCTGCGGCCGCACGACGAGGAGCGGTTGCCCCCCGCGGAGGGCGATGGCCAGAGGAGGAGGACCGAGCATCTTCTTCGGGCGGAGGGCAAACGGTGACATCTGGAATGCCGTTTCGATAGATTCTCGAGGTTCGAATTTGCAGAGGGTGAATCACAAGACGGTTCGGTTTTCGAGGTGCAAAGCCCACCGTATCATATAGATTTTACCCTGAGCCCTCCACCCCAAGAAAATGCTCATGGAGGAGATGCCGATACCGCTGCCCCCTCGCGCCGTGAAACTCGAAGAAAACCCAAACGCTATATAAACATGAACTTTTGGCGCTCCGCGCGGATTTCTTGGATCCGCGCTGGGCCCCTCATCGGCGCCTCTGGCGCCGCCCTTGGCGCGCTCCGCGCGCCAGGGAGGGGGATCCAGCGCAGATCTAGGACATCCGCGCAGAGCACCAAACTTTTATGTTTATGGCGTTTTTCTTCGTATTCCCTGAGCAGAAGTCACGGCGGACAAGTCTTTGTTGTTTCTTGCTTTCGGGGGCCCGCGCCAGGTTCCAGGACCGGAAGGGAGCGAGTCGGGACGAGGCATTGGCCCCGGGGAGAAGGCTAGGACTTCTGGGGACCGCGTCATGGAAAAGACCAAGACATCGGATGCCTGGGCTGATGCCGCTACCCTTGACCAAGTTTTGTCTTTTTTTGCCTCCTGGGAGTCCCTCGTCGCCACAGACGCATTCGCCTTGAAATCCGGGGCAGAATGCATTTCGGGAGAGGTCCGTGGAGTGGTGGTCTCGGTATCTTTGATGTTTCCTCAAGGGGGTCCTGATGTTTTCGAGGGGAGCAAGTGGGTTTCGAAGGAGCAAATGGGTCTCGAGGGTATTTGTGGAGCAAATGGGTTTCGAGGGACAGGGGTATTGACGTTGCGGTCGTTTTCGGGCTCCCAGGGGCCAGCCCCTGGACAGTTTCAGAACGGTTCAGGACGAAAAGGTGGTCTTTGGGGGAGAGCCCCCGGGGTTTGGGACCCGTTTCTTTCACGCCCCAAGAGGCCACCGAGGCCCCGACCCCAAGAGCGCGCCAAAAGGACTCTGGGGGGCGATTTTGATGGCCCACAGGGGGGGGAGGCAAATTGAGCCCCCCCCTCTCATTTGATCGATCGCCTCCAAGATGGGGCCCCCACGCTGCCAATTCGATTCGCGTGCTTTTTTTTGCTCGGTTAATTACCGAAAGATCGTCGCAGCCGCTATGTCTTTTGGGGCTCGCGCCCGAAAGTTCAGGTGCCAG